TTCCGTTTTATTCACGTGTAAAAATGTCGGCTCTAGATGGTGTTGCTTCTTCAAGGAAAAACGCAGGAAGAAAGGGGTTTTGGTACCAAATGGACTTCCATTTTACTCTCAAAGAAGACAAGGACCAGTTCTAGTTAGGCTTAATCGAGTTAAGGGGTCTTTAGGCACTAAAAGAAGGCGCTGGAACTGCTGTCTCGTTTACTCGCCGATTTAGTTTAAAAAGAGAATCATTCTGAGGCTCTATCACATGATACTAGTAGTTCTTCTGCTATGCTCAATACTTCAGGTAGTTATAATGTGTTTAAATTAGTGATTATATATAAATAAGGTATGGGTGATGGGGACGAAGAGCAGCCATTTTGTGCATAGATATAGGATCGGCTGTTGGGAAACATACATTAGTGTTAGTGTGGTATGGTTGACCGAAGGATGGTCAGTTACAGACAGGTATTCTTTGTTAGTATTATTATTATTATTACTATTATTATCAACATCATCAAAACTATTCATAATTTTAGATTGTCATGTGATTTGTGCTGAATTTCGATTCAATCCCAGTTGTGAGTCCTGTAATCGTAACTCAAGTTTATTAGTTACTAGATACAGAAGTAAGTATTATTTGTAATGTAAAGTAATCATATGGTGGCATTAATATTTTTAGGCTCGTACTAGCATTTTTCTTGTACTGGTATATTACCATCACAGTACTGCTATATTTTTGTCGGCATCACTGGGCACAGTTGGGAAGAGGTACACAGATACAGGAGGCTCCTCACCATCCCAATATCTATTCAACCCTATATACATAATGTTTATATTTTTAAAAATTTAGAATAATATTTTTGTATTTACTTCTTCCAGTAGATCGTTGAATGTTACAACTGCTACCAGTACTAGGATCTGAATGAGGACCATGTTGGGGTCTTTTGCTGGAACCACTTATACTTGATGATGGTGGCTGATATATGGTAGTCGGCAGGGTTGTCTGGTCCCAGCGGTGGCGGTTCTTGGGCTGGTTTTCTGTGTAGTAGTGAGGGCTATTCCCTTGCCACTATCACTTATTACCTGCCTGACAGCATCATTGACCGTGTTTCTTAGGCTGTTGGCAGATTTTTTAGAATATACAATATAATATTTGATAATAATGTAAAATTATTACTTCAAGTCAATTATACCATTTCTCTCCTTGCTATGCTTTCTAGGTGTGCTTGTAGGTTAACTCTCTCACCTTTGCTAATTTTAATGTTTTTATAATGCGTTTTGCTAGTGATTTAGCCATGATAAGAACA